TATAGCAAAAAAGAAAAAATGCAATTTGACAATTTATACTAGAAATTCAAGTACATTGCCCATTTGCTAGGAGAATCTAGTGATTTGAAGCTTTATCATTCACATGATCTAAAACTCTCCACTGTGCTCCACACCCTTCAAAGTCTCACTCAGTCTCCCCCAAACCTCTCCACAGGCTGTGCTGACCTCACAGCTGCCTCAGCAGGTTCAGCCATCTTCCCATTGGAGAAGATCCTCCTCTGCTTCCTACCAACTCAGCTGTACATCGTTCTCCTGCCTGACCTATAAATGTTTACTATTTGTTTAATTTAAAATAATCAGTCTTAAGCAACCCACTATTTCAACACTTTGCCTCAGCCAAGCGCTAAGCAGTCTAGTGGATGATTTCCAAAAATTTTGAAACCACAAGATGATTGAACTTGAATAGACATTTATTGAGCACCTTTTAGGTGCCAAAAGCTAAAATGAATATCTTGTTAAATTAGGGTAACTTCTTGGCAATAACTAAGTTGCTTTCCAAGTACTCTGTGCTCTGTTTAAAAAGAAACATTAAATCTTTAGAAACACTAAATCTACTGGTGCTACAAAGACCAAGTTTAATAAGAATTTTCCTTGGCCAGCAATGTCTTCCTGAGGCAGAGGCATTGATAGCCACAGGACTCTCAGCCAACCATGGCCACCAGTCTCCCCGGATTGGTTTGGCTCACTGCTTTGAAGGTAGCAACTGCCTGGACCCTGGGGACAGAATATGGGCCTAGCCCAGCCTGGGCCTTTTTTTCCTGAAGGATTCTTTAATAGTAATATATTCCTACAGTTCTCACAATCCCACAAGCCCAACTTGAAATTTTGCTCAACTGTGCTGAAAGGTAGAACTCTTGAGTAGACATAGTCCAGTTGCATCAAAGGAATGGGTTGGAGAACGCCAAGTGCACCACCAGTGTTGCCAAACAGTTCTCCACTTGCCCCTTTGGACTTCAAAGGAATATTACACTTTAATGATCTGCTGTATAATTAACCAGCCTCCTCTCCTCCTAGCTGAAATTACTGACGGAAACAAGCAAACACCCAAAATTTGCTATTTCCCTCTTTGAATGCCAACAGTGTAGAAATGTTCCCATGTAAATCAACACAGGGTGTGGATGGATTCTGGGCTCCAACAAGCCTGCTTTTTAACCTCATAACTCAGACTCACTGTAGAGATTCTGGCTTTCCCAGGGGATGTCAGAGGTCTTAAAGCTTGCTCTTTCCCATCTGCGTTGCTTATAGAAGACATGGCTATTAGTGTACTCAGCCTAGACAGGCTGAGGGCACCATCCAGTTCCCAACCACACAGCCAACTGGGCCCATGCAGAGGAAGCCAGTAACTTTTAATTTCAGCTCTTCCTATGGCTGTGTTGCTTTGACCAAATTACTCACCTACCTGGGCTCAGTTTCTTCATTTGTAATACTTATAACAATAACAATTATAATTATCTATTGAATGACAAGTATATTGCTCTAATTAAGAGTGTTCTGGGACTGGAACAACAGCTCAGTAGTTTAGAGCACTTTCTGCTTCTGCAAAGACTGGACTTTGATTCTCAACGCTCACACTGGGTGATTCACAACCGCCTGTAAATCCAGCTCCAGCAATCTCACACATTCTGGCCTCCATGGGCATCAGTATGCACATACACACACACACACACACACACACACACATGAATAAATAATAAACCAGATCTTTTTTTTAGAAGTGCTCTAGAGTTAAGCAGACCAGCTTCATCATTAATGGCCATGTGACATGAACCAACACTTTATGTCTATAAGCCTCAAATTCCTTATGTGTAAAGTGGGGGTGATGAAAATAGTGCTACTTTATGGGGTTACTGTCATCATTAAAGGAAATAATATAAGCAAAGTGCCTTTGTGTTTGGCACAAGACAAGCACTCTCCAATGTTAGTTGTTATTAATGTCCTCATCGTTATGGTCATCCTTGCTTTTTTATCATATCAAGTAGCATGTCTTAAAGATGATTTTTTTAATCTTTATAATAACGTTCTGATATAATATCTAGTTTTATTTCTCCATTTTATAGATGAGAAATGGAAACTCAGGTGAAGTCACATACTAAATTTTGTAGTTGCAACTAGTAAAAGGAAGTCTAGGATATTAAAAACCTATTTAAGTGCAGAAGTTCTAGAAAGTTCTGAGATGACTTGTATACACTGTTGAACCCCATACTACAAACTCAATAGAGCTAATAATCATTATTTAAAAAGCACATTAGAGACTATGAAATAAGCACAACACATTACTCTACCCTGATTCCAATTAATTGTACAGCTCAGACTCTACCAAAGGAAAGACATTCTCCCCTCTGCAAGACAGCCCAACCTCACTCTTACCCCTCCCACTTAATGAACACAAGATGCCTGTGGCAAAATGTAGGCTGACAGCTTTTCTATCTGAGATTATAACAGAACCTGGGTGCCTCTTAGCCTTCCGACCTCAAATACTTCCATCCCATACAACATAGGAAATCAAGACCCACCACCCCTCCCCAGACACACACACACACACACGTGCGTGCACACATACACACACACATGCACGCACGTGCACACACATGCACACACACACACACACACACACACGCACTGCACTTCTGGAGAAGGCTGATGTTATCTTACCTAGGTCTGGCTTTAAATTCCTCTGCTGAGCTGGCTTCTGCTCCCTACTCACCTCAGAGATCCCCATGGCTACATTTGTGTTTTCTGTTCTTCCCCAAAAAGAAGGACATGAAAACTTCTTGATTCCTAAGCAGCCTAGCTTGCAAACATGTAGGTAAGAGACTTTACTGGAGGTTCAAGAACTAAGAAAATCCAATAAAAGAAATGGGCTAAATCGGTCAATGGCCATTGTTTTTACTACTGTTCTACTCTTTGTGCTTTGTCTAATAGCCATTTTTCTTAGGCCTCCTCTCTCTGCATCAAAACAGGTCATTTGGGTTTTACATAACACAAATTCTTCTCTCAGTTTTTCATCCATTTAACAACCCATCTTCCAAAAGCACATAACTCAAATTCTATTATAGGAATCAATTTACCTCTCTTTTCATTTGAAATACCCCCCCCACCTGCAACCATGTTTCTTAAAATGGAGATCTGTAGAGTGGTGCCAAATCCATAAACTTTGGCTCCCAGAGCATGACAAGATAAATACAGATGTTAAAGCTTTAGAGTGACTGAATCTAAATAATAAAATAAGAAATGAAACTTGTGCTTTGTAATGTTTTCTTTATTTCATGTTTTTAATTATTTATCTTTTTATGTTTATGAGTGTTTTGTCTGCATGTATATGTGTGTACCACATGTATCCCTTGTGCCTGTGGAGGCCAGAAGAAGAGGGTATTGGATCCCCTGAACTGGAGTTACAGACGGTTGTAAGTGGCCATGTGGGTGCTAAGAACCAAACCCAGGCCCTCTGCAAGAACAGCAAGTGCTCTTAACCACTGAGCCATCTGTCCAGCCCCTATTTCATGTTTTTAATAATACATGCTATTATATTTTACTAAAACACCAGTCCAGGAAAGATCGGAATTTTAAAGCTGGTTCTTTATCGTAGATCGCTGCTAGGTGCTGATCTGGACTGGCCCAGGAAGCTTGTCTTATGTAATCCCATATATCCCTTTATGTATTCTCAGAGAAAAGGCCAGTTTTCAGGGAGTTCTGCTGTCTTCCCAGAGCAACCAGATTATCACAGAAAATACTTTTTCTTCCCATTATTTAAAAAAAAAAATAGTTCACTGGTTGGTCATTGTAGCTTATGTGTCAGGAAAGGGCTGCTGAGAAAGCAAAAGCACCCAATTCTGTCTTTCTTTTCATTTATGACTCATGTCATATGCACCAGCACCATTTCCTTCCATTTCCACAACATTTCAATCAAGCAACATCAGTATGTGCCCTATGTAATGGATGAGAAAACCGAGGCTTAATGTAAATGTTCTGCCCATGATGATCCAACTAAATTATTAGAGGAAGTCTTAGAACCAAAGCCTTGACCCCAGACTTCAAGCCCGCTACCATGTCACAATGTCATAAAACCACCATTTCAGTGGGAGTGCACAGGGCTTGAATAGTACGTACCCACATTTCATTTTATCTTGAACTAGTTTCCACGTCCCTAGCTAGTTAATAAAACTAGCTGTTTTATTGTCTTTTCAGGCTGCTGTACTTAGAAGTCACACAACATGTGCCTTTTCTTTGTCCCTTGCCAGCTCTGCTTCAGGGCTTTACCTGCTTGCCTACCACCATGTTGATTCATAAGAAAGTGCTCAGAAGCTTCCAGTGACCAACATTAAGAACAAAGGGCAGGGCTGAGAAGGGAGCTTGGAGCTTTCCCAGGGTGTTCCTGCCTTGAACCCTGCCATCTAATATGTGCTCTTTTCTAATGAGGCGAGCATTCTGGGTTGGCATTAAGTGCCTTCATGGGGCACAGCCACATGCTGACAAAAGATGACCAGAACGAGTATTAAGCAAGAGTTGAGAAATAATTACAGTTTTAATCTGATTAAACTGTTGCCCAAAAGAAAACTAGAAGGGGTTCTTAGAACCCTGTTTCTGTAATTCTGATCTCTTCCATTTTCATAGCATATAAATAATTAAAATTATGCCCACAATACATTTGGCTTCAGTCAGCAGGCATACTGACGAATATTACATTTAGCAATTTACATACACCGGAAATATAATACATTAGATTATCCAGAAAGCTAAAAGCAGCAACATGAACAGATCTCTTATGTAATGTCTGTAAGAGCTGACTGCAGGCACATAAAGAGAGCCTAGATGTTCCTAGGAATCATTTTCTTGCAAATGAAACATTTAATTATGGAGCAGAGTCCATAAATAGACCATCAATGCTGGGAGGAGGGATGGATGCAGCTATATTGCCGAATTAGCAGGGGAATTGCCTACAAGAAATTCATCAATGCCATAGATAATTAATTACAGCTCACCTTCTTCCCACATAACCATGCCTTTATCATTCAGCATTAGAGAAACAGCAGATGGTCGACCAGATACAGAATGTGATTTTCTGTCAACTCATTACTTACAGAATCACAGATTAGGTACGAGACCCCTTGAAGGTCACCTAGACCATTCCCCTGTGTCCAGAACAATCTGCACCAGAATCATTGCAAAGACATGAGTGTCTGTTTCTCCCTTATTCAGAAAGTATCCCCCAGGAAAAGGAATTTCACTGCCTACAGAAGCTTGGGATCCCAGGAACGTTACACCCTCCCATTGGCAATGGTCCCCTCCAACCCCAGGAATGTTAAACCCTCCCATTGGCAATGGTCCTTACCAACCCCAGGAACGTTAAACCCTCCCATTGGCAATGGTCCCCTCCAACCCCAGGAACGTTAAACCCTCCCACTGGCAATGGTCCCTGACAACCCCAGGAACGTTAAACCCTCCCATTGGCAATGGTCCCCTCCAACCCCAGGAACGTTAAACCCTCCCACTGGCAATGGTCCCCTCCAACCCCAGGAACGTTACACCCTCCCACTGGCAATGGTCCCTGCCAACCCCAGGAACGTTAAACCCTCCCATTGGCAATGGTCCCCTCCAACCCCAGGAACGTTAAACCCTCCCATTGGCAATGGTCCCCTCCAACCCCAGGAACGTTAAACCCTCCCACTGGCAATGGTCCCTGCCAACTAAAATCCTTGGCACATTTCCTCACTGATCTTTGAGTCTGTGTCCCCAGTGGGTGCTAAAGCTGCTACATCTACACAGTCAACTGGGCTCCACGGGAACACTTTGCTGAGGGCATTCTTAGTGTCTTTTATTCTGTCTTTGATGGAGATCAGACAGGTGACATAAGTCTTCTTGCTCCCAGGGTATTTTTGGAAAAGATTTAAATGACCACTATAACATCCCAGGAGCCTTCATGATTCTTTTAAGGCTGTGTATTTTAAAGTATTTGAGAGCACCTGACTTTATTTTTAGTCATGTTTCAGGGTTGCCCTGTTACTTACACCACAGTTGGTTGCATAGAGAACATGAAATTCCTTTTTTCCTCTCTAGAGCTCCACTCCCCATACCTGGCTGGGTAGCTGGGAAAAGCTGGACGTGTGAATATGGAAAGTCCCCTGGCAGCTGGGCCTTTCGGATTTGAGTTCCTTACTGTCGTTCCTTTACAAATGAATTGACGCAGTTAGATGAATTTGGGTGTCTTGAATTGTCCCTGTCCTTCTGTTCTCAAAGATATCATCCTGACATGTTGAAGAATTATCTTATGCCCATTCCAGCAGGGGAGGAGATTCTCTAAATACATCCTAGATTTCCTGAAATAGAATTTGTCCTTTACGGTAGTGATGGTAGAGGTGGAAACGGCTGCTATGGTTTGAAGAAGTATTCCCACAGGTCTGTATGTTAACAGCTGGTGCCTAGCCCACGAAGCTGTTGGGAGGTAGAACAAACTTCAAGAGGTGGGAAGAAGCTTGTGGGAAGAAGCTAGGACTTTCTTTGTTGGGGATATTAAGATACCTCTTCCTAATGTCACTATCCTCTTTCTCTTTGTTTTCCAGCTATAAAGTAAATAGCCCATGTCTGCCACACACTCCTGCCATGATGTGTTGTGGTGCCACAGACCCATAAACAACAGGGCGAGGGACCATATGCTGTGACCCCCAAATCAACCTTTTTTTTTGTCAAGCTGGTATCTGCGGTTTCTGTAGCATAAAGGTGACTAATACGTGTCTAAGAGCTAAAGGGTGAGGGGCATAGTCAAGTGAAGCCGACATGTTGCACTCACCACTAGAGTTTGTAGTCTCTGCCTGTGCTTCCACTTCTAAGACTGAGCACTGTAAAATCTTGACTCTGACTGTGAGCCTTTGGCAGAGTGATGGGTTCTCTCAGCCCTTTTCTGTAGCTTTACCAAGCAGATGGTTTCTTCTGGGCTCCTTAAGCTACAATCAGGCTTTAGTAGTCAGGAACACAGCATTCTTCCTCTGTTCCCGCCTCTGCAACCATCATGGAATCAATATCTCTCTGTCTCTCTCGGTCTCTCTCTTCTTCTGTGTGCGTGTCTGTCTCTGTCTCTCTCTGTGTCTCTCTCTCCCTCTATCTCTCTGTCTCTGTCTCTGTCTCTCTGTCTCTCTCTCTCTCTCTCTCTGTCACACACACCCCATTCAAGAATGCACACCACCAGCTCACTTAGCCCAATATGCATCTTATGCCCAATGTTTATAAGGACACAGGGATGGAGACCCAGGGAAGAAAGAGAAACAAAGACACTCAGGTCTGTTTCCCCCGTACTTGTCTGAATTCTCCTTTGCATTCTTTTTAAGTCTATTGGGGCAGGTTTCCCTTTTACTGCAGTACATCTTCTTCCAAGCGTAAGACCACAGTCTCATGGTTTAGCCATCATGGAAGGGCATCCATTTTACATTTGGAAGCACCACAGTGATCTAAACTCCACAAGTACAGCAGACTTAACTATAAATTTGGTTGCAACTATAGATTGATTTGCTGTCTCAAAATGTATTATTATTATTACATCCAGTTTCCCTCTGCAGCCCCTGTACCTCCTAACCAATGACCCTAATTACCCATACCCAGTCATGTATCACAGACATACACACCAGATGCAAACTACTTGTTACTTCAGGAAAGAGAAAATATGGCACTAAGATTCAGACTAGCAGATTGTCACAGTTTCCTAACAAACCAAAAGAGAGAAGTGAGTACTAAATTGTTTCCCAGAAAATCTATAATCATGACAGAGGGAAAGGAATAAAGGCATCTGGTTCACTCTACTGCCATTTGTCTCAAATCCTCAGGACTTAGTTTATCATTTGTGAAAAAGGTTGTCAGATTCTTTCACAAAGTGGTACCATTAAAAACGGTATACATGAATGTACATACATGTAGAATTTTTATAACTAGATCTCAATTTATTACGTTTTTAAATTCTATGACCTTATCAATTATATGAACTCCCAGTTAAATGCAAGCAGATCCCCAGCTACACCCCAGTTATATCCCTAACTGTACACATAGCTCTTACAGTGTATGATGAATGAGACCAAAACCTCACTGAAAATGCCATGGAGAGGCACCGACATCAGTGGCCTGTTTTACCCCTTCCTTTAGTTTCCAGTAGTATGAGAACAAGCCTCTTAATCATAGCCCATTTTATGAGGAACATTTTCCTCATCATTATATGTAGAGTATACTACATTGTAGAAAGATCTATAGGAGAGATCTGAATCTCAGCTGCAGAGCATGCACCACTGCTTTTCTCTAAACAGGGACGTGTTTCATGTGCTCACAGGACTCACCCAGCCGAATGACTGCATACCTAAAACCCAGGAGCAAAAGGAACAGGGCAGAAGCCACAGCACATGGGGAAGTGCCTAAAGAAAGGGGTCTTCTGGGGACCCCTAAGCCATGGCCCATAAATATGATCGATATCAAACATAGCAGATGAAAAGGAAGATCTGGGGCAGAGAAGAAGGAATCTCTGTGATCTCACTGATCCCCCAAGCCCTGGTTCTTCCCTAAGTGTGAACTTGCCTAAGTCATAGAAATAGAGAAGCCAGGGTCTTTCCTCCCCTTCCTCTGCATTTCAGATGATTTCACATATAGATGGAAAAGGAATCCACAAGATGTAGTTTGAGGTTGCCGCTGGGTCTCAGTGATGTCTCTCTTCCTTCTTGGATCCAGTCAAGCTGATCTTCACTCTCAGTGTCTGGGGAACAGCCTAATAAAGCTCCATGGACAACAGTTCCTATTATCAGGTCAAAGGGGTCCTCACCAGGTGTTTGGGGGGTGGGCTTTGACAGTTGATCTTCAGTCACTGTTTTCCACTGATCTAATGGGCTAGAATATGTCTTTCAAATTGGAAACATATTTTTAAACATTATAGTTCAAGGGTTTTCTTCCGGAGAAAGCCAGTTCTAAGCAACTAAAGTGGCCCTTGGCTGTTTGCTTTTTCACGTGCTCCTCTGTTGTTTCCTAAGGGCCTATTCCATTGGGTAAGGTGTAAACTAAATAAGAGCAACATTCTTTAAGACTATTTTTATTCAAATTACCTTCAAAAAGTTGGAAAGTAGCTGGGTGTGGTGGCACACACTTTTAGCCCCAGTACTTGGGAGACAGAGGCAAGCAGATCTCTGAGTCTGAGTCCAGTCTGGTCTACATAGCGAGTTCCAGGCCTTCCAGGGCTGCATAGTTGAGACCCTGTCTCAAAAAATAAATGGGAACGTGATATTAGGAGACAATTGCCCAAACATAGCTTTAAAAGAAAACTTGGTCAGGGTCACTCCACTCTTTACCCACTAGGTTGAGGGTAAAAAGCATGACTAAACAGAAGAGCAGCACAGCCATCATAGACCACTGCCTCTGAGAACCTGACAAGTCAAAAGACAGTCCCACTGTGGAGGCTGTTCAGGAAATCATGAGGGAGTTTTGAGAGCCAGGTGGCTGGCTCTAGTCCTGCTCAGCTTTCTTTGTAACCCTTCCTGCTCCTTGTGTATATATGTGTAGTGAGTTGAATCATAGATAATGATCTAAAATGCACGTCCATCTGGAACCTCAGAATGTGAGGAGATAGGATTTGGAGGAATGTAATTAAAGATCCCAATATGAAATTACTGTGGGCCCATATGAGAAGAAAAGGACATGGACAGGCACAAAGAGAAAACAGCATAAGGTAGAGGCAGAGTTGCACTGGTGCGTAGTTAGGGCAAGAAATGCTGAGGATGTCCAGAAATCACCAGACATCCTAGAAGGAACCAACCCTGTCAAGACCCTGAGTTCAGACTTACAAAACTGTAGGAGAATAAATTTCTACTACTCTAAGCCACCCATTTTGTAGTAACTTGCTTCTACTACCCTAGGAAATTAAAATAATATGTAAGTTACCAATATTCCTCACCACTGGCTCTGCCTCCATTCTGTCATTGCCATCCTCTGACCAGCTATGGCCCCTTGAGCTCCAAACAAGATGTTCTGAAACCAAAAACCAAGGAAGGGGGCAGCAGAGAGGAGACGGTTCCTGTTTCCTGTTTCTTCATTCAGTGATGTGAGGAAACCAGGTTTGCAAGAGTCAACTCTGTGAATTTCTTCCAAAACCCAAATTCAGTGAATGGCAAGTTGGTACCTTAAAATCAGAATTTATACTGGGGAAATTAGCAAATAC